GAACCACGTGGTCGCGCAGAAGCTGGTGGAAGCCAGCGCTTCGGTTGGCGAGGCTTCTGTTCACCCGTCGGGAAGTGCTGGGCTGTTCATATGGGTGGTTTAGGGTTTATAGGGTTGAGGGGTTAGGGCTTAGGGTTTATAGGGCTTAGGGTTAGGGTTTAGAGGGTTTTAGGGCTTGGGGCTTAGGGTTTAGAGGGTTTAGGGCTTAGGGTTTATAGGGTTTAGGGCTTAGGGTTTATAGGGTTTTGGGTTGGGTTTAGGGTATAGAGGGTTTATAGGGTTTCTAGGGTTTACAGGGTTTAGGGTTTAGGCCCTCTGAGTCGCCAAAAATCTAAGCTCCCACACCCGAAACTCCCAAGGCCCCCCGAAGCCCGGGTGGGGTGGGGTGCGATGCTGTGGGACCCCTGCGCTCTGCGTTTGACATGCCAAGCCTACTTGGAGGTTTAATGTTGCGCTGCGTTTAATAAAGCAGGGTCCATAATAGCAAATTTCGAAAATTTATTCTGCGAACCGAGTTTGTTGGTGTCAATCGCTGTTATCACAAGTGTTCTGTGTGTGTGTGTGTGTTTTTGTAAGGGTTTGTGTTTCGGGTCAAGGGCTTAATCACGCAGTAAGGCTTGAGGCCCTGAGGGCCTTGGGCTCCAGGAATCTCAAAGAGCCAGCTCCCCATCCCCCCAATTTGTTTGGGGGGGTCGCCGCGCCACGCATTTATAGAGGGTCCAAATTTGTTGGGGGCGGGGGCTATCTATTAAAAGGCAGTGCAACATTAGGGTTTAGGGTTTAGGGTAGTGTGTGTGTGGGCCTCTCGGCCCTACTTGGAGGTTCAGGAAGCATACGTGCTGTGAGCATGTTGAAAGCTGTCATTATACCATGCTTGACACCCTACTCATAGCTACCCCCGAACCTCTGAGTAGACACCCGAAGCACACTCTCTAGAACCTCCGTGGGTTTAGGGTTTAGGGTTCGGGGTTTGGGGTTTAGGGTTTAGGGTTTCGGGTTTGGGGTTTAGGGTTTAGGGTTTAGGGTTCACCCAAAACCGACTCTAGACTGTTTAGGGTCTCAAGAGCCAGGATGCGTCCGAGGCGGGTGTGCGCCAGGCGCTGCTCAGGCGGGGGATTCTTGGAAGCTGGAAGCCCCCCCCCCCCCCCCAAAACGGCAGAGAATCCTACCGGCCCGAGCCTGGCACCCAACAACAAGTGTTGAGGGATAAGGGTTTGGGGTTCAGGATTTGGGATTCGCAGCCCCCTAAGCCCTAAACGCTCAGCCCGCAGCCTTTGAAAACCTACGCCCTACACCGTGCATCGCGAGACTTGTAGGAAGGCCCCTGCCACCCCACAGTCCAACACCTGGAAGCTTCGGGGGGTGACTGGGGGCTCTCGATTAGGGCTTTCAGGCTTTTGTGTCAGGGTGCAGAGTTTGTGGAGCATGTGGCCCTAGCTCTGTGAGATCTGGTCTTGACAAGTTGCTGCCATGGCCGTGAGCTTCGAAACGCTCGAGCAGGGTGAGGACTCGGGCCTCTCGGAGGCCGCAGAGGCCGCCATCACCTCAAAAGAGGAGTGGGCCAGCTTCTGGGAGCGACATACTTCGATTAGTGACCCGCCGCCTGCGCTGCCTGACGTATCATTTGACACAGAAATGGTGATCTACGTCTTCAGCGGCGAGTGTGGCAGTGGTGGACACTCCGTCAGCATCAAAAGCATTGAGGAATCGAGTGGCAACCTGAGCGTGGTGTACGAAAAGTCCTCGCCACCTCCCGATGCCATGTGCACTGAAGCACTCACCCAGCCGCACCACATCGTGCGACTGAAGAAGTCCGATCTGCCCGTGACGTTCTCGAGCACGGCAGTTGTTAGTTAAACGTGGAGAAGAATGGCTGCGCGTTCAAGATGCCGCCCAGGTCCTCATTTTTATGCTCCTTGTCTTCCTTGCTCTGAGGGAAGCGTCATGACGCACATTTGTCTGCAGGAGATGTGTCTATGCGTCTATGTCTATATCCTTTCTTGGGGCTCCATAAAGTGCAGTAGTGTCCCTAAACCCTAAACCCTAAACCCTAAACCCTAAACCCTAAACCCTAAACCCTAAACCCTAAACCCTAAACCCTAGTATGCCTTGTGTGAGATGAGATGCAAGACTCAGGGTTCAGAGTCTCGGGCTTCGGGCGTAGCGCGCAACCGACTCGCGCCTTGAGAAAGAGGCCTGCGCTCACTGCACAAGGGATCCCAGAACCCTAAAGGGTTTAGGGTTTAGGGTTTAGGGTTTAGGGTTTAGGGTTTAGGGTTTGGGGTTTAGGGTTTAGGGTTTCGGGGCCTAAACCCTATGCCCTATGAACCCGAAACCCTGTAAACCCCCAAACTCTTTAGAACCTAAACCCGTTAAACCCCAAACCCTATATAGCACCCTAAATCCCATAAACCCCGAACCCTACTAAAACCCCTAGAACCTATAAGCCCGAACTCGACCCGGCCTCTTCCCCCCCCCCCCCAAGAATACCTCGCTTTGGGGTTCAGGCTTCAGGGTGCAGGGTTTAGGGTTTACGGTTTGGGGCTTACGGTCTGGGGCTTCCAGTTCAGGGTTTAAGTTGAGGGTTTTGGGTTCAGGCTTGGGGTTTAGGGTTTAGGGTTTAGGGTTTAGGGTTTAGGGTTTAGGGTTTAGGGTTTAGGGTTTAGGGGTTCAGGCTTGGGGGGGGCTTAGGGTTTGGGGCTTGCTTAGGATGTTGGGAGTGGAAGAGGCGCCACGAGAACACCGAGACCGCAGCCGGAGCCTTGGAAAACGGCCTGTCTTTTATTTATAGGGTTTAGGGTTTAGGGTTTAGGGTTTAGAGTTTAGGCTGAAATCTGAAATCTGAAAGGGCTCTCACGCGCCTTTTCTGCAGCACCTCCAGGACCCACGATCGTGTGCGCCCATGCGGGGCTTGAGCGCCGGCCTAAACCCTGGGGATGAACCTGCTGCCGGCCTGCGCTCACTGCACAAGGGATCCCAGAACCCTAAAGGGTTTAGGGTTTAGGGTTTAGAGTTTAGGGTTTAGGGTTTATTAGGGTTTAGGGTTTAGGGTTTAGGGTTTAGGGCCTACAGCGGCTTAGGATTCGGAATTTTTGGGTGAGTTGGGTCTGCATGAGCTTTCGGTTAGGATCCCACTAAAATCCACACGCCTGAGCTCGAGTTCGCCAGGAGGTTTAGGGAGGGGTGGTACCCAAGGGGGCAAGGGAGGCCAACCACAACCTTGCTCTAAAATGCGGATCCTTTTGGGTACTGCATCCTAAGCTTTCGAGATATGTTCTACCGGAGACCCTAGGCCCCAGGAAGCCATAAACCCTAAACCCCAAACCCTCAACCCCAACTTTAAAGAGCCCACAGGTTAGATCAAATCCCCCCTGCGACCGTCCGGCGAGGTGACGCAGGAGGTGCTTGAGATGCTGCCCAAGGACACCTGGGGTGCAGGGTTTCGGGTTTCGGGTTTCGGGTTTAGGGCGCGAGGTGCTTGAGACAGAGCTTTGTTAGGCTTCAGGGGCCCTCAGGCGGAACCTGGCAGGTATCCTGCTGGCTTCTGGGGTTTAAAGTTTCGGGGGTTTAAACGGCTTTGACTTTTGAGCAGATGGTTTGGGCTTAAGGGCTTTGGGGCTTGGAATGCGTTTTCCCATGTTTCCGGAAAATGTCTGCGGAGTCAGGGTACACGTCAGGTGTTCCCCTACTAACCCCCCTCTATACTACCCCCCCCCCCTGCCCATGATTAAGGTGATTTAGGGAGACTTAAGCCTCATTAAGGCTAGTTAAGGGGGAAGTTAAGGGGGGTAGTATAGAGGGGGTAGTAGGGGAACCCATGAAAGCCCTACACCCTAAACTCCAGGCATCCTCGGCCCCCCTGATGCGTCCGAAGCCCTTGCCGAAGCCCTTGAGCCCGAAAGCATCCCCCCGGCTGACTAAGCTCCTCTGCCCCCTAAACCCTCGAAATTCTTGACCCCCCCTCCCCGACCCAAACCTTCCCAAGCCCCAAGCAGGAGCCCTAAGTCCTAAACCCCACAAACTCCACGGGGATTTAGGAGCTCAGGGCTCAAGTGAGTGCCTCGAATCCGAAGATCAGGATTCAGTGGTAGAGTAGGTATCCGTTAACCGTTGTAGGTTTAGGGTTTAGGGTTTGGGCGTTAACCTTTTCGGGGCATTGTATCTCTTTTTATGGGTTTTTTCCAACGTAGGGTTGTAAGGGAATCCTGCTATTTGGGGGTCTATATTAGGGGTGCCCGATTCTCGTAAACGCCCATATAGTCCCTAAACCCTAAACCCTAAACCAGCTAAGAGGAGCTTCATGGCCACGCTCCACAGACTCTGAAGGAGCTGCTTCCGTGGTCGAGGGCCCCAGGTCTCCTTTCTTGGATTTGGGTTCAGGGTTCGGGGTTCGGGGTTCAGGGGTTTAGGGTCCAGGGTTTCGGGTTTAGGGTTTAGGGTTCAGGTTTTTGGGTTTAGGGTTTAGGGTTCAACCCTAATTACACCCTAAGCTCTGTAACCTCTAAGGTATAGGCTTCAGGGTCCCATTCCTTGGAGGTCAGGTGTGCTTGATAAGACTTCGCTAGCGTTATACGCAGGGGAGCTACACCCTCTAAATGTGCCGCGGTTGGTACTTGTAGATATTCAGCACATATTCTCCTAAACCCCCCCAAGCCCCCCAAACCCAAGCCCCCCCTCAACCCCCAACCCAAACCCCCCAACCCAAACCCCAATCCCCCAAAGCCTAAACGCCAAACCTTGAGCCCCAAGCAATCGAGGTGCAGCCAGCAGTTGCCCAAGGAGACCTACGAGGCAGAGGGTTTAGGGTTTAGGGTTTTCTTCAGGGTTTGGGGTTTAGGGTTTAGGGTTTGGGGTTTGGGGTTTGGGGTCTGGGGTTAGGGGTTTTCAGGGTCTTTTTTTAGGGTACGTGGTGTCGAGTTTAGGGTTTAGGGTTTCGAGTTCACCCGGGGTTCCAGGGCCCAAAGTTGGCCCAGAAGGCCTGTGAATCAGAAACCCCCACATGAAAGACCCTGAAGCACCAAAGACCGGAGTACCTTTGCGGTTCAGGGTTCAGGGTTCAGGGTTTAGGGTTTATAGGGCTTAGAGGGTTTAGAGGGTTTAGGGTTTGGGGACATGTACTCGGGAAGCCTCACCAAACCTGGAAGAGAATCCCGCATTCCGACCCTTGTCCAGGACAAGCCTTGTCTCAGAATTTTTCCTGTAGACCGCACCCTAAAGACATTTTTTAACTTTAGGGTCTAACTTTTTTAAACTAAGGTTGAAGGTCCCAATCCCCACATCCTATTCCCTCCAACATTGCTGGGCAAAGATGGGAGACGGCCCAAGTTTCGCAGCCCAGAGCCCCGCCCAAAGCTACCCGTATCATTCGGGCTTCGGTTTTCGGGCTTAGAGTTCAGGCTGGTCCGGATGACCTTAAACCCTAAACCCGACACCCCAGATCAACCCAACCCGAAAAGAGAACCCGATCATGTTCCCCCTACCGCAGCATCCAGAATCACTCGCCCACTTCGGGCGCAGCGCCTTACCCTTTCCTGTAGTCTCCTCCAGAGTTGCGTTTGGTGCTTATTCGGTTTAGGGTTTGGAGGTTTGGGGGGTCTATAGAAACCCCAATGGAATATTTCTTTGATGTCAGTATGGTTCTTGGGCGGGGGGGGGGGGGGGGGTAGAGACTTGACCTGAGAGGCTCTCTGCGACGGCGTGCTCAAAGGCTTCAAGGAGGCGGAGTACATGGCGGGGGAGCCCGGGAACATGTACGCTCCTGTTCTCATGGCGCCCGAAGGATAAGGGGGAACATCCCAACCTAAACCATAGGTCGGGGTGACTCTCGGAAGACGATCTTCCTGACACAGTTAAACCCTTAAGCCCTTATGAACCCTCAAACCCTTACACCCTTACACCCTTATATACCCTTAAACCCTTACACCCTTAAACCCTGCCCCAAGCCCCAAGGCCTAAACCCTAAACCCGGGCCCAAATGAGTTCCCTCAGCTCCCCCTCAGTTCCCTCCACAACCGTGCAAGAGTACGAAGACGGTTGAGGATGTTGGGGCGAAAAGTTGTGGTTTGGGCTTCTAAGCCTGGGGCTTAGGGTTTAGGGTTCATTAGGGATTGTTGGGGTTTTTGGGCTCTGCTCCCTGAGCCCGAGAACTTAAAACCCTATTGCGCATACCGCTCTTGTTGTTCTCTGCTGTTGTTGTCAGCATTGCTTCTAGTGTGTTGTATCGTTTTTTTCCTTTATTTCTTGTCTCCTTTTTTTGTTTGCTTTGTTGCTTTTGTTGCTTAACTTACTGTTATTAGATTATTGTTGTCAGTGTTTGTCATTGAGATCAACGTTTTGCATCGCCTCTGTTGTTTGTGGATCGGTGATTGCAGATAGTTTAGAGGGATTCCTAAACCCTAAACACTAGACCCACCTAAACCCAAAACCCCCCCCCCCCCCCCAACCTTGAGAATTGAGGTTGCCGATGACGACGCTGCCGATCAGGATCCTTCTTCCGGAGAGTGCAGGGCTTCCCTGTCTAGGGCATCTTTGAGCCCTAGAGGTTTGGGTTTTGGGTTTAGGTGTTTAGGGTTTTAGGGGTTTAGGGTTTAGGGGGGTTTAGGGGTTTAGGGGTTTAGGGGGGGTTTAGGGGGTGTTTAGGGGCTTAGGGGTTTAGGGGTTTAGGGGTTTAGGGGTTTAGGGGTTTAGGGGTTTAGGGGTTTAGGGGTTTAGGGGTTTAGGGTTTAGGGTTTAGGGTAGAACCACTCCCAACGAAAGGCTCCTGAACATCAACACCCGTCCCCTTAACCTAACAAGTCGGTCGAGGACGTCGGGCATTGGGCGCTTTCGCTGCCCTCGTGACCTCCGCACCCTAAACCCTAAACCCCAGACCCTAGACCCTAAGCCCTAAACCCTACACCCCAAACCCTAAACCCTAAACCCTAAACCCTAAACCCTAAACTGATTCTTCGGTGCTTGAGACGTTAGGCTCTGAGGCCTGAACCTCAAGCCTTAAAGCCCTGCATCCTAAGCCCTCCCTAACCCAAATCCTTAACCCTGAAACCCGAAGCCCTCAGGATTTTCGGATGTAGGGTTACTCTTAGGTACGAAAGATTCCTTCAGTGAAGGAATTCGGAATTTTGCTTAGGTAAACCCGAGAAGAATACTAAATTGTGAATTTTTCGCAAGGGTTCTAATCCCTCATACCCCAAACCCTTATACCCCTTAACCTGAGAACCCTAAACCCTTATACCCCGAAACCCTAAACCCTAAACCCTCAACCTAAGCCTGAGGGAAATGTAGGTTAGAGTGCGGTGTGAGGGGGCCCGAGGTGGCTCGACACGCAGCAGCATTGAAGCCTTCGGGGGCTAAGGGTTCTGGGGGTGCAAGGGTTAAGGGGCGTAAGGGTTTGAGGGGTTTGAGGGGTTTAGGGGGAACCCGTGTTTTTTTTTTGTTGTGGGTGCTTTTTTTTTGCTGTGGGTGCTTTTTTCGGGGGCCGCCCCGGTGAGTGAGTGACCTGGTGCGTGTCGCCCCCGCACCCGCAGCAAAAAAAAAAAACGCAACCCCCGCACCCGCAGCAAAAAAAAAAAAAACGCTACCCTCCCCCCACCCCCCCCTCTCGCCGCTTCGGCCCCCGCACCGCACAAAAAAAAAACGCACCCCCCCCCCCTCCCCCCCCCCCCCCTTCCTCCCCACCCCCCAGGTGAGAGTGAGTGAGTGACCTGGCGCGTGTTCGCCCCGCACCCGCAGCAAAAAAAAAACGCGCCCGCCCCGCAGCAAAAAAAAAAACACGCACCCCCAACCGCAGCAAAAAAAAAAAAAAAAAAACGCCCCCCCCTTTCCTCCCCACCCCCCAGGTCATTTGTTTTGCAATTTCCTCCCCAACCCCGTCCCCAACGCCCCCCCTCCTTTAAACTGTGCAAGCGTTTTCAAAGCACTGAATCCTTCCCAAGGCCATCATGCGAGCATTGTGTTTGCAAACGGTGGAGGGAGGGCTGCACCCCGCCCGACCCCCCCCCTCTTTAAAACCGTGCCAGGTCGCTTCTCAGCATATGAATCCTGTCCAAGCCTATCATGCCAGCATTGGGTTTGCAAATAGGGGGGGGCTGCGCCCCCCCCAACCCCCCCGCTTCTTAAAGCCATGCCGCTTGCTTCAAAGCAAATGAATCCTTTCCGAACCCATCATGAGAGCATTCCCCCCCGCTTGAAAGGGGGGGGGGGTGGGGCTGCGCTTTTTAGCCGGGCAAACTTGCTTCAATCATACGAATCCCTTCCAAACCCATGATGATGCGAGCATTGTGTTTGCAAATGGGGGGGGCTGCGCCCCCCCCAACCCCCCCGCTTTTTTTAGCCGGCAAGCCTGCTTCAAAGCTTACGAATCCCTTCCAAACCCATGATGCGAGCATTGTGTTTTCAAATGCGGCGGTCTGCGCAGCCCCCAACCCCCTGAAGAAAGAGGGAATATATGCTTGCTTTCCTACGAAAATTCAGACCTTATGGTGGAAGTTGAATTTTCCGTTTAAAAATAGAGATATAAACGTCTTCTTAGTAAAGAATCGAGAAAATAGAGCTTGTGTTATGAGACATGAACAAAAACACTTGTTGTCTACGAGTCACAAATAGAGATAATGCATGTACTCTTATGACAATATAGAGAATTAGCTTTTCATGTATTCCTCTCTCATGTCTTCCTCGTGAAATAAAGAGAAGAAGTCTGAAAATACTGACAAAATAAGAAACTATAGAACAATAGAGGTTTTCGCTATACAATATAGAGAAATTAGATGCTTCCTATGACAACATAGAGGAAATAGAGGCTTTCATACGAAAATATAGCGAAAATACAAAGTGTTTTCATATTAAAATGTAGAGGTCTTGATATTCAAATATAGAGAATAGAGGTTTTCATGTTCAAATGTTAAGACAATGGAGGTTTGCCTATTCAGAGACAGAGAAAATAATGGGCTTCCTATTAAAATTAGGACAAGAGGAACAAAAACACTTTTAATTGCAAGTCACATATTGAGATAACACAGAGAATAAGTTTCTCATGTATTCCTCTCTCATGTCTTCCTCATTAAATATAGAGGAAAACTATGACGATATAGACAAAAATAGAGAGAAATAGAGGTTTTAGTTATAAAATAGAGAGAAATAGAGGTTTTCGAATTGAAGTATAGAGAAATTAGAAAAACTAGAGGTTTTCATGCTAAATGTAGAGAAAATAGAGGTTTTCATATTCAAATATAGAGAAGAAAGAGGTTTTCCTATTCAAATATAGAGGAGAAAGAGGTTTTCCTATTGAAAATTAGAGAAAATAAAGGTTTTCATAGTAAAATATGGAGAAAACAGCAAAAACGCTCCGCACCTGCAGCAAAAAAAAAGGCGCCCCCACGGCACCCGCAACAGAAAAAAAAACGCGCCCCCGCACCCGCAGCAAAAAAGAAAACGCGCCCCCCGCACCCGCAGCAAAAAAAAAACGCGCCCCCGCACCCGCAGCAAAAAAAAAAACGCGCCCCCGCACCCACAGCAAAAAAGCACCCGCAACAAAAAAACAACACTCTTCCCGGGGTTTAGGGTTTAGGGTTTAGGGTTTAGGATTTAGGGTTTAGGGTTTAGGGGTACAAAGGATTTCAGGGGTGGAGGGGTTTAGGGGTTCAAGGGACTCAGGGACTAAGGGTTTGAGGTTTAGAGCTCCTGAGAGGTACATGCACTTCACTTCGCCCATCCGCCGCTACGCAGACATCCTCGTCCACCGCCGGTGTCCTGCCTCCAAGAGACCACCGAGCCTCCTAGAGTCTAGGATGCCCAGTGGTACCCTTATTCCCTTTTTGGTAGGTTTAGGTTCCCTTATAAACCCCTTTAAGCAAAAAAGGGCACCCTTTTTCATCCTAGGTTACTGGGCAACCTAGGAGTGGGGTAGGAAACATTCCTAGACCTTAACAGCCTAACCAAAAAGCGAAGCCCAGACCCTTAACACTTTAAGCCATCGAAAAATGAACCCCCTGAAGGAAGACAGGGTTTCGGTGGAAAAGGCTTCGAGCTGATTGGCCTTCGCTGGTAGGGTTTAGGGGTTTGGGGTTTGGGGGTTTGGGGGTTTCGGGTTTAGGGGTTTAGGGGTTGGAGGTTACGGGGTTTCAGGGGTTTAGGGTTTGGCGGTTTAGGTTTGGGTGTTTAGGGGTTTGGGGCCTTGGGTTTTTTTTGGGTTTGCGGTTTGGGGGTTAGGGGGCTTGGGTTTGAGGAATTGGGGTCTGCCGGTTTGGTGGGGTTTGGGGGTTGGAAACTTGGGGGTTTGGGGGTCTAGGGAGTTGGGGGTGGATTGGTTTGTCGGTTCAGAAGTCCCCCGCGACCCAACCTCCCGGGCTCCTCTTGCCCTAAACCCTAAACCCTAAACCCTAAACCCTAAACCCTAAACCCTACACGCAAGCCTAGACGTTTAAGGCTTTAGGGTTTAGGGTTTAGGGTTTAGGGTTTGGGGTTTAGGGTTTAGGGTTTAGGGGTTTGGGTTTATATAGGGGTTCAAGGTCTAGCCCTAAACCCTTCCAAGCCTGAAAAGCCTCCAAACCCTCCCCCGAAGCCCGGAATCGGAGGGGTCCCAAACCGAAAGTCAGGCTGGCCTTTATCCTCGAGGCCAAGGGCGGCGACAAAGAGACGCAGGGCAGCCATAGCGACGGCCTGGCGCGTGATTCTGCTTTGTACCGCATGGGTTTTGGTTTCGGGTTTTCGGGTTTGCCTAATAGGCCGGCCCCCAAGCAATCCTCCCAAACACTCCCCTGCAAAAAGGGTACCCATATTGTGGAAACCCTTAATATTTTGGGCTCTTGAGCCTTGTGTTTTCTATGTCTTTTGTCGTGTTCTTTTGGTTGGGTTCCGGCTGTGTTGCAAAGGGCCCCAACAAGTATATGTGCGCTTTTGCCTGTGGTGTTTTCTTTTTCAACGCCTAGTATTTAGGGTTTAGAGCTGCTTGCGGCCTAGGATGGTATTTGTGGGGCTTAGGTTTGTTTAGGGTTTGGAGGGGCTTGGGTTTCAGGGCATGGGCGCATGGGGCTTTCAGCTTCCACCCCCTGAACCTCTACACCCGAAGCCCTTCAGGACCTGGGGGGCTTAAGGAGCCCGAACGCCTTGTCATCTTACATGGCCTTCTAATCCCTAAACCCTAAACCCTAAACCCTAAACCCTAAACCCTAAACCCTAAACCCTAAACCCTAAACCCTAAACCCTAAACCCTAAACCCTAAACCCTAGACCCTAGACCCTAGACCCTAGACCCTAGACCCTAGACCCTAGACCCTAGACCCTAGACCCTAGACCCTAGACCCTAGACCCTAACTCTTCCCTCGAAGTGGGGCGATGGCAGGCCTTTCTGGACTCACTGAAGGAAGCGGCCACGCTCCCGGCAAGCAAGGCTTACCAGGTGATTGAGGGTTTAGGGTTGAGGGTTGAGGGTTAGAATTAGAACCCCAAACAGGGAACCCCAAGAAGACTCTGGTAGCTATACTCCTCTCTATGTTCCTACTACATTCTTGGGGGTTCCCTGTTTGGGGTGCCTATTACAGTTCCTGTAAATTCGGCCATTAGGATATTGATATTTTCGCTTCTTGGGTTTGGGAGGATAATGTTTGGGATACTTTTCAGAGGGTTTCAAGGGCCATCCTAGTGTTTAGGGTTTATGTGACGGTCTTGGGTCTCGACTCCTTTGACGCGAGACCCCACCCATGTAAGCCGAGCGAGACAGCCATAGATCATACAATCCCTAAGCCCCCCTCAGCCCTAAACCTTACACCCAAACCCTAAGCCCTAAACCCTGAAACTCTAAACCCAAAACCCAAAACATCCTTGAGCACCGAGCCCGCGGCTCAACTGGCAAATAAAAGCCCACCTGCGGTTTGGGGGTTTAGGGTTTAGGGTTTTTAGCGTTTTTTTAGGGTTTTTTTTAGGGTTTTTTAGGGTTTTTAGGGTTTTTAGGGTTTTAGTGTTTTTACGGTTTTTAGGGTTGTTAGGGTTTTTAGGGTTTTAAGGGTTTAGGGGCTAAGGGCTTCGGAATGCTTCCGGGTCCTCGTGCTCATCTCAGAGAGCTTCGCGTGCAAAGCCACGGCTTGCATGCCGGCTTCGTTGCCCCAAAACCCAAAAGGGTTTAGGGTTTAGGGTTTAGGGTTTAGGGTTTAGGGTTTAGGGTTTAGGGTTTAGGGGGGGGTTCCCGAAATTCCGGGCACCTTCTTGGGGTCCTGATTGTCAGGGAATCCTACTATTTTGGGGTCTAGATGAGCCTAACCCGAAACCCGAAACTCAAATTATAGCAAAGCTAGCCCTGACGGACCCAGCCTTTCATTGCCTTCAAGCACCCTAAACCCTAAACCCTAAACCCTAAACCCTAAACCCTAAACCCTAAACCCTAAACCCTAAACCCTAAACCCTAAACCCTAAACCCTAAACCCCGTAGCCCTGACGACCCAGGTGGAAACTTGCAACGCCAAGAAGCGCGACGCTCAAGATGCGCGGCGCTCAGGTGGTCCAGCTCGCCGAGCTCCGCGACTTTTGGGTTTGGGTTTGAGGTTTGGGGTTTAGGGTTTGGGGTTTAGGGTTTGGGGTTTCGGGGTTTGGGGTTTAGGGTTTCGGGGTTTAGGGTTTAGGGGTTTGGGGTTTAGGGTTTGGGGTTTAGGGGTTTAGGGTTTAGGGTTTGGGGTTGAGGGTTTGGGGTTTAGGGTTTGGGGTTTAGGGTTTGGGGGTTTAGGGTTTGGGGTTTAGGGTTTCGGGGTTTAGGGTTTCGGGTTTGGGGTTTAGGGTTTGGGGTTTAGGGTTTAGGGTTTGGGGTTCGGGTTTGGGGTTTAGGGTTTAGGGTTTTGGGTTGAGGGTTGAGGGTTTGGGGTTTAGGGTTTCGGGTTTTGGGTTTAGGGTTTGGGGTTTAGGGTTTAGGGCTTAGGGTTTAGGGTTGGAGGTTTAGGGTTTAGGGCTGAGGTTTTTTGAGGGATTTTGGAGTTGACGTCAGAGGCACGCTTGGGGCTCCTGAGGCTGGCGTGGAGCTGTATGCGTGAGGCTCCCCTCGAAACCCTAGGGCTCTAGGGCACTTGGGGATACTTGGGGCTTTACGAAGATAAGGGACCCTTAGTAGAGTCTCCCAAATAGTAGGGCCCCCTTGTAATAAACCCCCACTTGGGAACGACTTTCCATTTTTTGGGCACTATAACTCCTAAGAAACAGCCAGGGCGCTTCGGGAGGCTTGGGAACGATTAGGAATTCCAATTTTTGGGCACTATAATTCCTAAGAAACAGCTAGGGCGCTTAGGGATACTTGGGAATGTTTTTTTTGGGTACTATAATTCCTAAGAAACAGCTTTTAAAATGTTATTCTTTGCTAAGGTTCCAAGCTCAGTATAGTCCTAAACCCTAAACCCTAAACCCTAAACCCTAAACCCTAAACCCTAAACCCTAAACCCTAAACCCCAAACCCTCAAAAACACCGAGAAACCCTGTGCGAAGAGGCGCAGATGGAAGAGATCCAGATTGTCCTCTCGGACTATGTCCAGCGCTGCGGAGGCACCCTCGTCTCTTCTGTTCTCTTCTGTTCTCGGTAGGCCCGTGAAACATTTCTTGCTTTCCCTTGTTGGGTTTTAAAGGGATCATGTTCAACTCTAACCCCTAAACCCGAAACCCTAAACCCTAAACAACTCTAAACTCTAAACCCTAAACCCGGGAATATTTGTTAGTCCAAACCCCTAGGTTTCATAGGGGTGCCTTTCAGACGCGAAACCCGAACCCAAAACCCTTTGGATATATTCCTTATGTACATATATGAAGTCCCTTAAGATCCCTAAGTGTCCCTTACCCCTGGGGTTTCGGGTTTAGGGTTTAGGGCTACCCCTTAGGGTCCCGCCTTTAGTCCCGTAGCTTTCAGGTGTCGAGGTGGACGACGCGGTCCTCACTCGCATCCTCGTGCCTCGCAGGCCTGCGGCGCAGTTTATCCTGTTGAGGGTTTAGGGTTTAGGCTTTAGGGTTTTAGCATTCGCCTGCCCTCTCCATGCATGCCCATCAACCATGAACTTCAAATGTGTCCTGCCCTGCCTCCCTGCCTCCCCTGCCCCCCCGCCCCCCCACCCCCCCGCCCCCGCCCCCCTGCACCCCCACCTCCGAATTGTGCAACCCTCAGCCTCCGAATTGTGCAAACCCAAGAAACTTTGGACCCGCAAGCCCTGCAGCCAGTTCCAATGCCGGAAGAGCCACAAACTCGCAGAGCCGAATGCCTGACAAATAGCCCGACAGCCCGAGAAGCCCTAACGTCCGGAACGAAATTTGGGTTTGGAGCTTGGGTCCTCAAATCCGGAAAATCCGAGAGATTGCACACAAAAGACCACGCCACGACCACGCAACTTTTTGAAACCCTAGACCCTAAACCTTGTACAACCCTAACAACCCTATTGAAGCCCTACAAGGCCCCTTCAACAGACCCTTTAAATGCACCTTAAAGATCCTGTTAAAAGCACCCTAAGCCCTGAACCCTGAACCCTAAGCCCCAAACCCCAAACCCCAAACCCCAAACCCCAAACCCCAAACCCCAAACCCTAAACCCTAAACCCTAAACCCCAAACCCTAAACCCTAAACCCTAGACACTACAAAACCCCAACGTTTCTCCAGCCAGCCCAGGCCCGCTGAAGCCCGAGCCAATGAGGAGCCCAAGGCCGAGGCTTGCCTTCCTTGGGTTTGGGGGTTTGAGGTTTATAGGGTCTTGGGGTTTGGGGTTTGGGGTCTGGGGTTTGGGGTTTAGGGTTTGGGGTTTAAGGCTTCGGGTTTAGGGTTTAGGGTTTAGGGCTTCGGGTTTTGGGTTTAGGGTTTGGTGTTTAAGGTTCAGGGTCGCGCGCAAGTAAAGAACATATCGAAGACTGGCCCCATGGAAGCCCGTTCGCAGGACGAGCAGCCGCTCTCCTTCCGCCAGCGCCCCTTGGCATGCAAGCGATCGGGGTTAAGGGCTTAGGGTTTTAGGGTTTAGTCTCAAACGCATCAGCAAAGTGCCCGCGGCGCTTGCAAGCCAAGGTTCCTACCCTAGACCCTAAATCCGGGAGTCTGCAGAAGTGGCCACAGGCCCCCATGGCGAGGCTCAGGACCGCATTGTTTGTTTGGGAGTTGTCCCAGAACCCGGAGACCAAGAGCTCCTACCAGTGCAGTAGAGATCCCAGGGACTCCCAGATGGCAGAGGAGGCCGGTAAAACCCACATGCAAGGTCACTGGAACCTCGCAGCCCCCTTGAGCCACCTTGTCGCAAACCTCAAACACCTGAACCAGCTAAGCTCTCGGTTTTGGGGGGGCTCTGCGGCTTGGGGCCTGGGGTCTAGGGAGCAACAAGTTCAAGTAGAGGGGCTGATAGGGTATGGGTTGTGAACCCCGTTTACACCCCCTGATACACCCTGCAGATCCCAAACGCCTATTTTGCGCAGTAGAGCCCTCCAACAAGGCAGGGTTCATGAAGATTTAGGGTTTAGGCGCCCTAAACCCTAGACCCTAATTAGACCCTAAACCCTAAACCCTAAACCCTAAACCCTAAACCCTAAACCCTAAACCCTAAACCCTAAACCCTAAACCTAAACCCTAAACCCTATGGGGCTTCAGCTCTAAAGCCAGGCCTCACGAATCGGGCAGCGAAGGAGGCCGGGAGCATCATTGCTTCGGGGTTGCAGGGGGATTTGCGCGGCCTTCCCTTCGACCCTAAACCCTAAACCCTAAACCCTAAGCCCTAAACCCTAAACCCTCTAAACATCCAAGCATGGAAGGCCCGAAGCCCTCGATTCTTAAGAGGTTTCTGGCAGCACACCTTGCAAGATCCCTTAAGCCTAAGCCCTGCAACTCACCCGGTGAAAGGGCTTTTAGCCATGTTGAAGCACCGCTCTGGGAGCTTGACTTCGGCGCCACTGCGCGCAAACCTAAGATCTTCCCTCTTCCCTCCTGAACCCCCCCCCAAAAGAAACGGGAAACCCTAAAATCCCATCTGTACTTCTACATCTCCTTCTTGAGCCGCCTTGGCACGCCAAACCTAAGACCTTAACAACTACCCAAAGCCTTGAACCCTGAACCCTAAACCCTGAAGCCTTGAAGACCAGGCCCTAAACCCTAAACCCTAGATCCTAAACCCTAAACCCTACACCCTCTCTAGGCCCTGGAGATCTACGTGCCGCTGGCGCAGTGCGCCCGCTCCGTGAGTCCGGATCGCCCAGCTCGACGCCATTCTCCTCCAACATTTGGGGCTTAGGGTTTGGGGTTTAGGGTTTGGGCTTTAGGGTAGTGCTTGGGATATGGAGTTCAATCAGAAGCTGGCTACCGACTTTTGAAAGTTTCTCCCCATGGCTTAGCTTGTGTATTTCTGTGTTGCGGGTGATCCCTAAACCCTAAACCAGAGCAAGGCTACAGCAATACAACATCTCTCGAAGAACACCTGGGGACGGTGAGGGGAGGGCGCTCGTATTTGCGTTTAACATCTTCTTTCTTAAACATATAGAACGTGACCATGAGAAAGGGGAAAAAACCTGACGGACCACTTTCCCATCAGAATGACAATGAGAAAGTAATGGAATCCAAGCATGTGGCTTTCAAAACGAGAGACAAGAGACAATGAGAGAGAACAGTAGAATCCGGATTTGCCACTTCAATCAGAAAAAAAGGCACCGCTTTCACGTCAGATCAGAAAGCAACCAAGGAAGCAGGCTCTAAACCCTACACCCTAAACCCTACATCCTAAGCCCTAAACCCTAAACCCTAAACCCTAAACCACATCTACCACTTTCCCATCAGAGACCAAAACTTCCAGGTACTGGTTTGAGGGCACCTCCGATACTCCAAAAGCCTAAGCCCCTAAACCCTAAACCCTAAACCCTAAACCCTAAACCCCAAACCCCAAACCCTAAACCCTCAGCGAAAAAATGACCGAACTCCTGAGCCCCCGCGGCAAAAAGGTCTCGAGGTGCTGGGCTTGGAAGCTGCTGAGCCGTTGCCGGAGCCTCTCTCTTGGGGTTTAGGCTTTAGGGTTTGGGGTTTAGGGTTTGGGGTTTAGGGTTTGAGGTTTCGGGTTTAGGGTTTGGGGCTTTAGGGGAAAAGCCATGCCCCCCCCCCCTCCCCTAAACCCTAAACCCTAAACCCTCAACCCTAAACGCTAGACCCTGGACTAAACCCTAAACCGACCACCCCACCCCCCACCCCGCGCCCCCAAAAAACTCCGTGGACTCGGCGGTACTTGAGCAAGTTGGGTTTCGGGTTTAGGGTTTAGGGTTGCTAAACCCTTCACAAGCCCGGAAGCACCTAAGACCTGAAGGTTTCCAAATGGCTGAGGTCGGGTGCAGGGTGACTGGCCTAAGGGTGTGGGTTTAGAACCCCACAGCTTTTGGGGTTTGCGACCTAGCTCTTCTTGTTCTTTAGGGCTTTAGGGCTTCGGAATGATGGGGTTGCGAAGAGCGAGCAACCCCCAAACCCCAAACCCCCAACCCCCCAACCCCAAACCCCCAAATACCTCAAACCCCAAGACCCAAGACCCAACCTGAAACCAAAGCCCCAACCCCCCCCCCCCCCCCCCAAACCCCCAAACCCCCAAACCCCCAAACCCAAACCTGAAACCCGAGGCCGGCGCCAGGCCCCAGCCCTGGTAAAGCTGAAGGCGGCCCAGAGTGGGCTCTGGGTTCTGGGCGTTCTAATACAGGGGTGGGAAGAATTGCTAAAAAGTACTCCCTTATTGCCCCTTTTTTAAAATACTGTAATAACCCCGAAAACCCTATATTAAGGCCCCTATATTAGGCGTTCTGGGCGTTCTAGGTGTTTAGGCGTTTAGGGTTTATTGGGTTTAGAGTTGAGGGTTAGAGTTTAGAGTTTCGGGCCTAGAGTTTAGGGCTTAGGGTTTAGCATGTGGGTTTAGGTTTAGGAATTTCGGTTAGTGGGCCTTTGGGCGTTGAGAGCAGGCCCACGCAGCCTGGGGCAGGGACAATCCCTAGACCTTCTAAACCTGCCAACCCTCAACTTTCTAAGCTCCAAGCCCGCAACCCAACCCTCAAGCTTCTGAACCCTCAAGCCTAAACCTAAAAACCGCAACTAACTTATAAGCCCTGTACTTGTGCGTAATGCCGCAATGGACTAAATGGATTGGTGAGGGCGTCGGATCTGCAACCTTCGGTTTCAACCCTAAACCCTAACCCTAAACCCTAAACCCTAGACCCTAAACCCTGAACCCTAAACCCTAAACCCCGCAACCCCCTGCCGCAGTCGGCCCCAAGAAGCGAGAACCGAGGCACCGCGAGGCCCAGAGATGCCTCTTTGTCTCTCTCTCTGTCTCTCTCTCTCTCTCTCTCGCTCTCTGTCTCTCTCTGTCTCTCTCTCTCTCTCTCTGTTAGGGACTGTTAGGGTTTAGGGTTGAGGGTTTAGGGTTTAGAGCTTTGCGCGCGCGCGTGCGCGCGTGGGTGGGTGGGGGGGGCGGTGGGTGGGTGGGTGGGTGGGTGGGTGGGTGGGTGTGCGGGTGGGTGACTCTGAATTTAGGGTTTAGGGTTTGGGGTTTAGGGCTCCGATATGGACCCCCCCCTCCACCCCGTCATTTCGAACTACAAAACTTAAACGAAGGCCCCCAATGAAAATCAGGCCCTGGTGCCCCTGCATCTTAAGCCCTAAGCCCGAAGCCCTAAACCCTAACCCTAAACCCTAAAACCTAAACCCTAACCCTAAAGCCTAAACCCTAAACCCTAAACCCTAAACCCCAAAAGCTACAAGACAGAGGCAGGCTGGAGGGAGTCGTTTAGTTGAGCGTTTGTGGAGGGATGGGCGGGCTGACGCAGTGCTTGTGGGGCTTAGAGGGGCAGTCATTGATTCGCTTCTGACCCTAAACCCTATGACCCTTACATCCTAAACCCTAAACCCTAAACGACGTGAATGTTCTGGCGCCCCGCCCCAGAGCCACAATCCCAAAAGCTGCTCAACTTACTGCCCATCCTCACCACACGAGCGTTCCGGATGATCCTACCGTTGGGGCATGTTAGTACCCCTATTTTGGGAACACCCATGTCGGGGTCTGAAGCAGTTTCGGAGCTTAGGACTTTCCAGGGCTGAGTGCTGCTCAAGGATTTCGGGCTTCAGGCGTTTTTGGGATTCGCGGTTCCCTCAATTAAGCACTAATTAAACCTATATACCCGAAAACCTAAACCCTATTCCCGCGTCGCGTGGGCCTGTGGATTTCTGGCCTCGCGGCAGGTGCCAAGCCTGCGCGTGCGCGTTCGCGGCACATCTGAGGAGGCTCGCAGATAAGGGCGGGCGGGCGTTGGGATCCCAGACCTTGCAGCACCTTACTTAGTTGTTTGGTTCCGTCCTTCGCTGTGCGGTTTAGGGATCAGGGCTTTGACCGTTTTTGAGGTTTAGGGTTTAGGGTCCATTTTCACGGCAACACGTGTCCTTTTTTTGAGACACGGGGGCACGGACACGGAGTGGAGTACAATGCTGTCTACTGTCAAGGTTACGGCGCGCAGTCGCGCAGGCAGCACGTGTCAGCCCACTTGTTTCGTCCGACAGCTTTTCCCTCAAAGCCCTATAGACCCGACACCCTAAAAGCCCTAAACGCTAATTCCACAAAACCTTACAGAAGAATACCCTGCCGCCAGATCCTCCTTGAGAAGCTGCAGCGGCTGAGCGTGCGCCTCACGACACCTGGCGCGCAGGAGCCATGCGGGTCTCAGGGCGTGGGGAAACTGCAGGGTGCAGGAATCTTTAGTGCCTGTACTGGCAGGTTTTTCGGGTTTAGGGTTTGTACGGCTTTCCAAAGTGAAGAAATCCTAAGCCGTGAAATGAAGGTCTAGGGCCTGTAGGGTTTCCCCAAGCCCAAACCCTAAACCCCACATGAAACCTTAAATCAACCTTGCGAGAACACCAACGCCTAAGGACAAAGACATGGTAACCCTCCTGCCCCTTTTTGGTTCAAGGTTCCCTTATACAGTATCCAACCCCAAAAAGGTACCCTTATTATAATGTGGTTACTGTGCTACCAAGAAAGCTTCAAAAGACCACTCAAAACCCTGTAGACACTAAAGACCCGAAAGCCCTAAGTAAGGTTTCGGATCTAAGGGCTCTTTTTCAAGTCGCAGGGGCAAAGGGTTTGAAATGGGGTCCGGGGTCTGCAGGACGCAGCCCCTCTCCCTTACACCCATTAACTCCCGAACTCCCAAAGGCCCCTTGAACTCCACAACTCCCAAAAGCTCCTCGACCGCAAGAACCTCTGAGCCGAATCCGAAGCCCTTCGCCCGCAAAGCCCGTGACTCCTAAGCTCTAAGCCTTAAACTTCCTAAACAGGTTCCGTGTTCTGCGAGAAAGGGGGGTTTGGGTCAGGACATGGAGCCTGGCGAGACCAGCCGGCCACCACCTTGGATGACTGGCTTTGGGGGATTAGGGTAGGGGGGCTTGGGAGTGAAGGTTTTTCAGGATGTTCCCCCTTGTACTCACAGGCCTTACTGGGGATTATAACAGGGGGTACAAGGACTGTTAGTAGAGGGAAAGCATCCCAATTTTAGGGTACCCTACGCCCTAAACCCAGCTAGCTTCCTCAACGGACCCATTCCACCCTGTCGTTCTCTCACCAGGCTAGGATAGGCTGAAGTTCACAAAGTGCCCACAGCAGATACTGGTTTGAGCTCATTTGCCAGGAGGCTATGAGAAATTGCAGTCATTACCTCAACCATACCGCCGCTGACCCTGGATTTCCTGAGTCTCAAACATTTACCTGCGTAGGCCCTTGGGGCATGACTTATTTTTCCTTGATTGGGTTTAACAGGATCATATTATCCAGGAATATTTTCAGAGGGGTTTAAGGGCCTTCCTGGTACTCAAGAGTGGCCCCAACACCACACTGCGGCAACGCGCGCCCCTGACAGCTTCCAGTACGTTCAGCAAGCATGTCGGCAGCGCATGGCAGCCCAAAACCCTAAAACCTTACACCCTAAACCCGAAACCCTAAACCCGAAACCCGAAACCCTAAACCCTAAACCCTAAACCCTAAACCCTAAACCCTAAACCCGGGGTTACAGGCTTGGTGGGCCTTGAGGCTTCATAAGGGTTTGGGAAGCGGGAGCCTCTGGGGACCATGGGTTGGGTTTCGGGTTTCCGGGTTAGGGTTTAGGGTTTAGGGTTTCGGGTTTAGGGTTTAGGGTTTAGGGTTTAGGGTTTAGGGTTTAGGGCAACAACCCCCAAACCTCCAATCTGCCACCTCTGAACCCTCTACAAAAGCTGAACCCTAAGCCTTCAACCCGGAACCCTAAACCCAGTCTCCCTTCCTCCACACCCCTAAGCCCCTGAACCAAAAGCTTCTGTTATCCAAGAAAACACCCCAAAAAGCCGTACCTGCAGGGATTTGGGAATCTGGATAGGGCTGAGGGTTTTCGCGGTTTTGGAGAGGTTCAGGGTTCAGGTTTCGGGCTTCAAGGGCCATCCGGGTTAGGGTTTTAGGTCAGAGTTTCCACTTAGCTCCCAGTCAGCTTAGTCCAAGGCACTGGACCATCCGTGTCCCCTGGGCCCAGCATGCGGCCACCAAGCCCCCAAGCGTCTCCCAGGAGCGCAAGTGGCCGGGGGGTCGAGGTTGCTGAACCCTAAACCCTAAACCCTAAACCCTCAACCCATGAACCCTAAACCCTTAACCCATGAACCCTAAAGTTTGGCCCTAAAGCCCTACAAACCCTAAAAACAAGCCCTAAAGCCCTCCAAAGCCTACAACCCTGCAAGCCCTAACCCCTGCAAACCCCGGACCCTTAAGATCCTCACAGCTTCTAACCCTAAACCCTAAACCCCTAAACCCTAAACCCTAAACCCTAAACCTTAAGCCCTAAACCTTAAGCCCCATAACCCTCTTGTCGCCCATGGAGGATCCCCCAGAGCCACCAGCGATTCCACCGCCGCCGCCGCCGCAGGGCGCGGCGTGGCAGTAAGTGTCCCAAAAAAAGGCCGCAGAGGGTGTGGGGGCTTAGGGTTTTAGGGTTTAGGGTTTGGGGGCTCAGGGTTTTCAGGGGTTTGGGGGGTTTAATTGGTTTAAGGGGTTTAGGGTGTAGAAGTGGGCCTGCGTTTGTGGGATTCTGAACTCGGCAGGCCCTTGGGATAGTTCTCTGCTCCCTTGCTGGGCTTACTTGATGAGCTTTTTTTGTTCAAGAGTGCTGGGGCCAGGGCGCACCGATGGTCCGGAGCCGTGGGCTTCTAAGGTGAGGTTTAGGGTTTAGGGTTTGGGGTTGAGGGTTGAGGGTTTGGGGTTGAGGGTTGAGGGTTGAGGGTTGAGGGTTGAGGGTTGAGGGTTGAGGGTTGAGGGTTGAGGGTTGAGGGTTGACTGTCTAGGGTTCGACGGGCTTCGAGGTTTTGACCCCCTGAAGCCCCCTAGGCTGGTCCACACCGTTCAATGTTTGGGTTCGGTGTTTGGGTTTTAGGGTTTAAGGTTTGGGGTTCAGGGTTTAGGGTCACCTAAACACTTAACGGGAGTTCTCCTAGCAAGCGTCCGTGGGCCGACCGGCAGCCATTCAGGATCATTTAGTGGCAGGATTGTTGGGAAGGCTCCCAGACTGGCACGTGCACCCAGCTCCATCACTGACGATTCGGTGGGTCTAGTTTCGTCATTGCTAGAACTTAAAGGCCCAAGATCCTCTAGACCCTACTGAACCCTAAAAAAGGGTCTTGGGTTTCTTCTTTGAATATATCTGCAGTTGAAACCGGTGCAGCAATGGGCTCCACAAGACTCTGCCGGAAGCCCAGCAAAAGTTGCTTTGGGTGCATTTTTCTCGTCGGGTTCTTTCACAGTTGCGGGTTGAGGGGGTGCGCTGCCACGCCCAGTGCTTGGAGAACCAGTGCTTTGCGCAAGCACCTTTGCGCTATATGATATGGCTCGCAGCTAAACCCTAAACCCTAAACCCTAAACCCTAAACCCTAAACCCTAAACCCTAAACCCTAAACTCTAAACCCTAAACCGTAAACCCTAAACCGTAAACCCGAAAGCCTAAAGCCTAAAGCCTAAAGCCTAAAGCCTAAAGCCTAAAGCCTAGAGCCTAAAGCCTAAAGCCTAAAGCCTAAAGCCTAAAGCCTAAAGCCTAAAGCCTAAAGCCTAAAGCCTAAAGCCTAAAGCCTAAAGCCCTAAAGCCCTAAAGCCCTAAAGCCCTGAAGCCTAAAGCCTAAAGCCTAAAGCCTAAAGCCTACAGCCTCAAGCCTCAAGCCTCAAGCCTCAAGCCTCAAGCCTCAAGCCTCAAGCCTCAACCCTAAACCCTAAACCCTAAACCCTAAACCCTAAACCCTAAACCCTAAACCCTAAACCCTAAATCCTAACCCTCCCCAGCCCATCATCGGCTCATGAGAAGGAATTTCACGAGCAACTCAGCACCCTAGGTCCGTCCCTGGAGGAAGTCAAGGACGAGAAGGCACACTGAACAGTGTTTTAGGATTCAGGGTTTAGGGGGTTTAGGGTTTGGGGTTTAGGGTTTAGGGTTCAGGGTTTAGGGTTTAGGGTTTGCTGTTGAATGGGGATTCGCGGTTTAGGGTTGAGGGTTTTTATTGGAATGCCCGTAGAAATTCTCCCAAGCACAAAGCCCTGAACCCGTAAAAGGCTTTGGGCTTTTAGGGCTTTAGTGTTTTTGTGGGTTTAGGGTTGGGACGTTTCCGCGTATGGTAACATCAACCGGCTTCACGCAGGGCGACAGTCACGGTGGCTCCCTGTGTCTAAGTTTGGAACCATGGGGGTCCCTTAATCTTGTTGAAGTGTATAAAAGGGCTGTACAACAAGGAAAATAAGGGTTGCAGTCCAGAGGAACCTCCTAAGTTCAGGGATTCGGGTGCGGGATATGGGTCCTAGGGTTAACGCTTGAGGGTTTAGGGTGTTTAGGGTTCAGGGTGCAGGGTTTAGGGTTTAATTACGATCCAGGTTTTGGGTTTGATTGCGGGGCGTTGGGCTCGTAAGGCAGGCTGCGAGTTGGGACTGGAGGCTTCACGTTGAGGGATTTAGGGATTTAGGGAGCCAGGTTTTGGGGATGTAGGGAATGTAGGGAGCGAGGAATTGAGGGAATTTAGGGATGTAGGGATGTACACGTAGGGAATTCACGGTTTTAGGTGTGGCAGTTTGGGTCTTAGAGTTGGGTGCAAGCCCCTGCAAGAAGCAAGGAGCAAGCTGCCAGCCCTTCTGCACCCCATCCTCAAGGGATGAAGACTCGTACCCCTAAGGTTGTACCCCTACAGGTTCCCCTAAATATACTCCCCATATTATGAATATGGCCCCAAAGGTACAACCTGAAGGGTCCAATGTAGAACCCCTAGATCTCTGCGGTTGAAGGTTTGAAGTTGTAGGGTTTGGGATTCAGGGTCTTAGGTTTGTTGCTTTTTGGTTTGGGGATTTAGGAACCCTAAACCTTCAACCTTGGACCCTAAACCCTAAACCCTAAACCCTAAACCCTAAACCCTAAACCCTAAACCCTAAACCCTAAACCCTAAACCCTAAACCCTAAACCCCTGGGCCCTAAGCCCTAAGCGCTAAGCCCTAAACCGTGGAGCCAGGCAGTTCCTGTTGAGGAAGAGAAGACCGAGCACGATGAGGACTCGGAGGGATGATTGAATTCTCCCAGGGCTCGAGGTCGAAGGGCTTTAGGGGTTTAGGGTTTAGGGTTTAGGGTTTAGGGTTTCGGGTTTCGGGTTTTCGGGTTTAGGATTTAGGATTTGAGGAGGTGTGAGGACCTATTGGCCGGGGCTTATCGCAATCAAGATGGCGGGATCGCGAAGAGTAGTTTGTGGCATGTTTTGGCATGTTGTGGCCAGATTGCCGGCATGACAGTGAAGCCGTCTGGGATTTTTCCAAGATACCTGAATCCCTACACCCAACCCCTAAACCCTAAACCCTAAACCCTAAACCCTAAACCCTAAACCCTAAACCCTAAACCCTAAACCCTAAACCCTAAACCCTAAGCCCTATCAAAGGAAGCCCCCAATTTAACGCTACTCCCCAAAATGGTACCCCCATAAGCTTCAAGAACCCGCCCGCCGCATTCGGGTTCGGCGGCATTGAGGAATCTGGTGTTCCGGCCTTGGGTACCCCTTAGGGTTTAGGGTTTAGGGGTTTAGGGGTTTAGGGGTTTAGGGGTTTAGGGGTTTAGGGGTTTAGGGGTTTAGGGGTTTAGGGGTTTAGGGGTTTAGGGGTTTAGGGGTTTAGGGGTTAGGGTTTAGGGGTTTGGGGTTTCGGGTTTAGGGTTTAGGGTTTAGGGTTTAGGGGGTTCCGACGGCTTGAACTTAGGGCTCCTGATGGAGTACCACGAACCCCAAAGGCTCGTCCCTGAACCTCAACCCTAGTAAGCCTTCCTAAGCCCTACAACCCCTAAACCCTAGACCCTAGACCCTAAACCCTAAACCCTAGACCCTAGACCCTAAACCCTAAACCCTAAACCCTAAACCCTGAGCTTGTTTGCACTCTGTGCGCGAGAGGAGCCCGTTCACAAGTTCCGGTCCATTGCGTGGGGCGCTGCGGGGTGCCCGGAGTTGCCCCTGCAACCCAAAAGGAGGTATGGGGGTGAGGGTTTAAGGGTTTAGGGTTTGTAGGGTTTAAGGATTATAGGGTTCAGGGTTTCGGGTTTAGGGTTTGGGGTTTAAAGGGTACAGGTTTGCGGGGTGACTAGGGGTTTAAGGTCGACAAACACTCCTTGCCACTTGAGTTTCCGTGAGGAGGTAGACAGTAGAGAGTCCTAATCGTTGAAGAGGGGCCCCCCAATCGGCAAAAAATCGCTTCTAGACAGTCGGGTTCAAGTGGCTTGTTTCATCTTACTTGCGTTGTATGACCACAAAGGTTTGTTCAGAATCTCCTCTGCTTAAGGGGATGTTCCTTTCTTAAGCGGTTTCGGAATCCCAAATCCCAAGCCCTGAACCCTGAATTCCCAGTATCGACGCCTTTGGTTCGGGTCTAAGGGCGCCTCGATGCTGGCCTACGGCGTGGTCGAGACCTTGGCGCAAGGAGCGCACGAAGTTTGGCACTCGAAGCCCTAGCCTAAACCCTGACGGGCAGAGGCGGATGTTTCCCCTCCAAAGGCGCCGATATTGACTCAAGCCCTCTCAACAAAGTCGTCGGAGGTGAGGGTGCCCTGGCTGGTCCGTCTTAGCGGATGAAATGACTAGAGTGGGGCCTGTTTTGCAATACCCATCGCGGGGCCCTAGATGAACGAGGGCATGTACCAGGTGGCCATTTCCCCAAAAAAGCGGTACCTCTTTTCTGCCCCAAAGAGAATAGACTCCAATTGAAGGGACCCGCAAGAAGGGTACCCCTATTTTCGGAACCCTCCTCTGTGGCTCAGAGTGTCAGGCGCGGGCGTCCTACTCATAGGTGTCTGCCATGGCGCACATCGATTGGAACAGTCGGGACTACCCGGGGAGCTACCAGCCAGTGCAGCTGGACGCTTCCAAGTACACGATCCCCTGCGGCTGGCTGGATTGGTGGAGCAACTTGCCCAGCCAACAGCTGAACTTCAAACTTTTTCGTGGGTTTCCTGATTATAAGTAATTAGGAATAATAGAGTCTGGCCTGTATAAGTAATTAGGAATAATAGAGTCTATATCCTTTTTCCTATTCCTTGGCCATTGGAGAAGCAAGGCAAGCGATCGTGTCTCTGCTGCTGCTGCTTCCCTGCCGCGCAGTGCATCAACGGGCGCTGCAACCCGTGCCTCGCCCAGCGGGTGGATGCACTGGATCCGGAGATCTACAAGGAAACCCTGCAGATTCCGACCTTCTGCCCGGAGGACCCCCCCCTGGGTTCTTAGGGAAGGAGGGAAGTAGGGGGCCTATATATAGACTGTTTAAAGGGGTTCTATAGGGTACCTCCTTCCCTCGTGCCCTACTAAGAACTTGCGAGAGGAGATGAAAGGAGTCTGGTGGCTGGAGGACAACCTTGCGCATGAGGCGTTGGTGATCTTCAATGATGCCAAGTGG